TGGTTACTGGATTGTAGTTGTGTGTTTGGAACAGGTTGGTTGCTTGTTTTTCCAAACCTTTGTTGCCCAAAATTTTGCTCCTTCGCTTGAGCGTCCATTCTTGCACTTGAGCGAGCTTCGCAATTTTTGCTCATCCGCTTGAGCAGCCATTCTTGCATTCGAGTGGGCTTCGCAAACTCTCAGTATTTTTGCAGTCTTGCAAATACTAGAAGAGTGTATTCTACGCACGAGTGGCATTTCCTATGCTCGAGTTGGTGGACGCTTGAGCGTCCAATCTTGAGCTCGAGAGATACTCTTTGTCTGCAAAACTTCTGAAAATATGTGTTCTGCGCTTGAGCGTTAGTTCTTGCGCTCGAGCAGAACAATCTGTCTGACACTCGAGCATCACTTTTCACGCTCGAGCGGACTACATGTATAACTGTGGGGAAGTGGTTTGGAAATACACTTTTGATCCTGGAGAACACTCGTGATCCTCTTCTGGTCACCTGAAAAGGAATAAACACTCCGGTTGGGGGTGCGGAATTAGCACTCCGACGGACAAGTTAGAATCCACACTTAAGAATGCTTGTATTCTAAGTTAAGCACAACAATTCTCACCTACCTTTCTTAATTTGTTGTTCCTTTTTTTATACGTGTTTCCTAGGCCTCGTGGCCAGGCCCACTTGTCACTCATTATCCTCTTATTTACTCGACTCCATAGTTCAGTATCTATTCGGCCTATCTATTATATTCGGCATCCTTATCGTATAGGATAGAGCCGTGTAACATCTGTCTTCTATAGTACGCTTCGGATTATTCCAATAATCCGGCTCCCACAATTGCCCCTCAAATACCTCGCTAGCATCAGTTAGTCGGCGTGTTTGGCTAGAAGTCAAAAATTCGGCGGTTAATCTTCTTCCCGATGCGTGTCAGAATGCGTACGTGTTTTTTGGTCACTGTGACGCTTTCCGACCCCATTCATGCTTCTCTCGCATTTATTACGATTTGAAACTTAAGTCCCTTCGAAAACATACTTTTTGAATATTTGAACCTCCTGGACTGCCAGTTGGTATCTCTTCTTCGACGCATTTTCTGCAACTCCTATCCGCTCTCTCCTTGTCTCCTTTGCCATTCGTAAGTTTTCTTCTCTTCTCCTTGCAATCCTATTTTTCGCTTTTATTTTTTATTTAGAATATCGTTTCATTGCATTAAGTATGCCATCTTACATTGCATTATGTATGCCATGTGGTCCTTTGCATTGTGCATGCCTAGTTGTCCCTTGCATTGAGTATGCCTAGTTGTCCCTTGCATTGAGTGTGCATGTCCCTAACATTACTAAGTTGTCCTTGTAGCATTGCATTGTGTATGCATGTGTTAGCATTGTTTGCATGCCATTTGCATTGGTAGTTTGATCATGTTGTATTGCATGTTGTTGCATGCCTGTCCCTTGCATTATGTATGCCATGTAGTAGCATTGTGCATGCCATGTTATGTGTTGCATTGTGTTTGGAATAGGTGTTAGCCCAAACACGGGAAACAAGGGACGTTTCATACTTAAAATGATGAAACGTGCCTTAATTCCCGGTTGCCAACGCACGCTCTTGATCATACATGATAGAGTTCTAGGCCTTATGTGTTTACTTGTGCATTCATTTCATATTGAATTGTGCAACTTCGTCTCTCGGCCATCATGTATTGAAATGCACGATTGGTGACCTGAAGGTTAAGAACTTATCCTTCCTTGAGTTCATGACATGATAGGGAGGGTGGTTGTGCACACATATCTTGCAAATACATTGCCATGCCCTTTCTTGTTCTCTGTTGCAGCAAATTGCAATTCAGCAGCAACAACTGGTCGGCCAGCCAGAAAAACTAGCTGGCCGACCACTTTTCTGGTTTGTCAACAACCAAAAGTGGTCGGCAGGTGTCTAGAGAGACCAAAAGTGGTCGGCCACCCTCCTAAAGGGCCCCTAAGGTGAAGTTTAAGCTTTCTGAAGCTTGGTGCAAGTTTCTGAGAGCAGTTGCAAACAGAAGCAAATTGGGGCATCGCATTGGATTTCCGAACAAGGCGACCGAGCATGCATCCAGCCTTCTCCCTCCGAGAACCTCCTGATTTACTGCTTTCCTTAGCTGCCATGCTTAGATAGCTTGCTTTTGCTTTGGTTTGTACCTTTAATAGTTAATGCGTTTAGCTATTTAAATTTGTTTTGTAATAATTAGTTAACTAGGATTAGTTAATGAATTTGTTGTAATAATTAGTTTAATTAGCTTAGAAAGGCTAGTTAGTTTTTTATTCGGTCCCTCCTTCGAGAGGGCGTATTGTTGTAATAAGCGTGCGTGTGTGTGATGCATGTCTTCCAACCCCCATTTCTTTCTCCCTTTTACTTAACAGCTTATGATGGTTAGTCTTAGGGCATATTTAGTTTAGCATACCTTATGCTTGCATGATTGCATACATTCATCTGTTTTGCATGCACCGGGCTCGGCGTATCATATAAACCAGCATTGTATTTTCAATACCTATTTGAATACATGTACCAAGTTGCATTTCACATGACATTCTAGATAGTCGAGCCTATTTTAGTTGCATTGTTGCATGCGTTGCATTAGCCATCTTAACATTAACTAGGATCATGCATGATTTCTAACTAGTTCTTTGTTTTGGCTTGGAGTACACTGTGAGTGTTTACGTTTTAGCATACTGCATGTGTATTAATGTTGTCATGTTAGCATGCTTGCTATGAGGCTAACTGCTTATGTGATAAAATGCCTGAATGCCTGTGGGTAAAGGTTGGATTGCTTGAATTAGGACAATTCATTGAAATTCACATTTTAGCCTACTTGGGAGTAGCAAACTTCAAACCATATTCAAACAAACGGATATGCAATGCTTTGTTCTAACTGAGGTGATCTAGTCTATACTTGTTTGCTGTGCGCATAACATAGTAATTCTAGGTTAAATAACCGGAATAAGAACACATGTGCTTTCAAAAACAAAATATCATGTTTAGTACAGGCCGATCTTTGATCGGGCGAGCGGGGGTGCTCATTACATGACCTTCCCCAATCGTACCCAAGTTCCCGAGCCGAGGCAACTTTGGTGATAACGGACACGTGGCCTTAGGCACGAGTCAGGGTTTCTTAAATTCTCCCAAAATAAAATATTTAGGTACTCTGTATTTGGAAAAGCAGTCCATGTTTGGCACTTCTTTATAAAAATATGTTTTCCAAAACGATTTGCCGGATTTTGACTCTTTGGTGATTTATCGGTTTCACATCGCACATTGTGAGATTAGATTCAGAACTGTGACATTTGAGTCCGAACTGTAGTAGCTTGGAACAAAACGAGATATGTGCCATTGCGAGCGCGGATATCAGAGGGTTCCCGGGAGCGCGTCTACAGTATGCAAGAGACAGACGCTCTTTAAACAGATGCAATAACACATGGAATTTGTCAAAAGGAATGAAATTCAAACTTGAATCATTATGCATATAGATATATTATTTTATAGATATAAAGGATGCAATTCAACCTACTGGATTTTCCTGCACAAACAAATCAACAAAGGAGAGGAATAAAGAGAGACTTGAAAATTGTTATATCACATGTCTCATTTTCCTATTAATATTATATGGTTTAATATATATATATATATATATATATTTATATATATATAGACATATTAATATATAATGTACAATGCATCATCATCAATCAACCCACCAGTGGCCTATCTCTTTTCATTATCATATATTTAATATTATATATTCAAAAGATGCACAATATAGTCAATCAATTTTTTTTTATTTATTTTTTTTTTTGTAACTGGTTCAACATATAAAAATACATTTTGTGTCAAATGATTGTAAAATATGTATTAAAACTTCACAATTTATCAAATAATATTTTAGATATCATCAAAATTAAATAACATGATTAACATGATTAATAGGTTGCTTTCCTTTAAGCTTGATCACAAGTCCCCTTTTGAGGTGTTATTTCATACTATTCTACACTACTCTTCATTTAAAGTGTTTGGTTGCCAATGCTTTCTTTGGCTCAAACCTTATACTTCTCATAAACTACAACCTAAATCCATTCCTTGTGTTTTTCTTGGTTATCATCCCTTTGCTAAAGGGTTATAGATGTCTTGATCCCACAATTGGTCGCATTCACTTATCCAGACATGTCTTGTTTCATGAAACCATTTTTCTATTTTCTTCTATTTCTTCTCAGTCTCAGTCTTCTTTGTCTTCTTTACAACAGTTCTTCTGGTCTACTCCACCTCCAAATTTGCATTCTTTTTCTTTAGTCTCTATTCTATTCAGTCCTATTACTCCTTTACACAGGTCTTCTTCTTCTCCTCCTCTTATACCTCAAACTACTCTTCAATCACCAAATCCTAATTCTTCTAGTTTTGCTCGTTAATCACCCAATCCTACTCCATATTCTTCTTTCACTTCTACTTCTAGTCCTTCCTCTTCTCTAGTTATCCATCTTATATCCTCTTCTCATATTCCTATTCAATCCATTTTGATTCCATTACTTCTTCTACCTCCCCCTCCATCCACTAGCCATCCCATGATTACTTGATCTAAGACTGTAGCTGCACCAAATTGTCTACAAACTTCTGTCATTTCTCTGTACACTACTACTGAGCCGCCTACTTACAAGGAAGCCCTTTTGTCTCCAATTAGGTACAAGACTATGTTAAAAAAATTTGAGACTTTGCAAAAACAACAAACCTAGACTCTTATGTCCTTGCCTCATGCCAAGAATACTATAGGCTGCAAATGGGTATTCAAGATTAAGAGGAACTCAGATGGCACAATAGCAAGATATAAAGCTAAATTGGTTGCAAAAGGCTATCTTCAACAAGAGGGGATTCAAGAGACTTTCAGTCCAGCTGCCAAACAACCTACAATAAGAATCCTTATGTGTCTTTTTGAATACATCGAAAAATAAACAAGAATGAACAATAATGAAAAAAAAAACAACAAAAGGGAGAGGCAGTTAGATATTAGATTCTTCGATATGACATCCTTACCATATCAGCCACAATTTGGCTTCTAACAGCAATAGGTGGTTCTTCCACCACCACCAATGGTTCCATTTGGTCAGCTCCCATGTTAGTTAACATATCTGCACATTTGTTGCCCTCTTGTAGGATATGTTGAATAGAACAGTTACACCTGTGAATTAGGTGTCTGGAGTCCTCCATTATGGTTCTGAAAGGGCAATTTGTAGATGGCCCTTTGTTGAGCAATTCTTCAGCTAAGGTAGAGTTCGTCTCGACGATAACTTCTTGCAAACTCTTCTCCAGCACCATTGTTAGTATTCTCCCTTCTTCTTCTTTTTTGTTGTTGCTAGTATTCGTTGCTTTTCCTAACTAATTTTTAGATATATGTAGTTTCTTGTCATATATCAAATAATTATTAAGTCTAAATTTTACAGTGTCTTCAAATAAGAGTAAAGGATCTTTAAAATTCTCCGCAAGACTAGGGGTTGGCGTAATAGATAAAACTATCTTTACTAGACATAATATTTGAGTTCGAGTCTTATTACTATATTATATTTGGGGTATTTTTTTTAAGGTCCCTGATATTATGAGTTTATAGTATAAAGGACATCAACTATTTTCATGATGTCTAAGGTCCCTCAACATCAATCCAGAGAAATTTCAGTCCCAAAGAAAATTCAACCAGACAAAATTCAATCTAGAGAAAATTCAACCAGAGAAAATTTAATCCAGAGAAATTCTCTGGTCCAAACCACAGAAAATTTAATTCAGAAAAATTCAATTCTGTCTAAAATTTACCTCTCATTCTAGCCAAAATGAGGTGTACAGTTCTAGAAACTAAAGAACGAGAAAATGAAAAACATGAGTTGCAGAGATAAATCTCTCAACAGCAATGGTATATGGACACAGCTTGTTGCCTTGAAGGTGGCATGCACATAATCACCAGGATGAGTATGAGAACAATCAGCATAAGAGTTGACTTGATATCTGGAGCTTCGTCTTCACCTTCTGCCATGATCAACACTTCTTGCTCAAGATTTCTTCTTCTTTAGTTTGTTTCTCTGTAAACTGTCAGTTTGATGCTTTTGCTTGTTCTTGTACTCTGCCCAGAATAAAATGTGAAGTTGTGGTTAACAACCAAGTTGACTTGTTAATTATTTAGTGCCTGAGTTGGGAGCGTACATTGAATTTGCATTTAGTTTCTTTGAATTTGCATTTAGTTTCTTTGAATATTTGACCTAAAATTCAGTTCAAATGAAAAAACATAATCGAAATAGATGTTTTGTGAGCTAAATTACCAGAGAAATTCTTAACCCAGAGAAAATTCTCAACCTAGAGAAAATTCAGTTCCATTGCCAAATACTCCTGGAAGCTTGAACCTAGAGAAATTTGAATTTTCTCTGGGTTGAATCCAGAGAAAATTCAAATTTATCTGGGTTGAATCTAGAGAAATTTGAGAAATTTTACTACTAAGAAGGTGGAGAATTTTTAAAAAAAGAAAAAGAAAAAAAAAACTATTTTAACCTCATTCACTTGTGCATGTGTTTGGTCTCCGAGAAACCGTGGGAAAATTACTGAAAATTTTTAGATTCAGTGCTGTATTTTGGTTGTAAGTGGCTGTACTGATGTTTCAAATTTTCAGATTCAAAGCATCAATCGGAGCTCCGTTTGACGGGGTTTGGTAACCCTTTCACATTGATTCCCTTTCCAATCTTCTTCTTGCCCAACAAAACCACCCACCTGAAATCGAGACAGAAACTTGATTTCTAGAGAAAGAGAGAGAGAAAGGGAGGGACAGAAGGGAGTAAAGAGAGAGAGAGAGAGAAAGAAAGAGGAGAGGGATGTGGGTGTTCTATCTGATCTTGCTACCTCTAACATTGGGCATGGTGGTATTGACGTTGTGGTACTTCGCTGGACCACATGTGCCTCGCTACGTCCTCTTCACCGTCAGCTACCCCTGGTTCTGCTCTATCTCTGTATGTATGTATGTATGTATGTATGTATGTATGTACATGTCTGTGTGTGTGCGTGAGAGTAGACAAAAGGAAGGGGGCTGAATTTCTCTGTGATAGATGAGAGGGACCTTAGACATCAAAAAATAATTTTGTGGATCTCTTCCATTATGAAAAGTGGGAGAGAGACCCTAGACCAATTTTCCCATTATATTTTTATTCTCTTATTTCTATCATTTTTATCAATTGTAATAAAAAGAATAAAAAAGAAAACGAAAAAAAGAAAAGAAAAGAATGTTTTAGAACACATTAAATATTTTGTAACTTTTGTATACTTTATGCAAATTATTAGTTGTCATTGGCAACACTTTAGGATAAGTATGATGATTCATCACTAGTAATATATGGCACTTATTGTATCACTTTTTTTTTTCTTCTTTTATTTTTGTGCGAACAAGTATTTTTTTTTTTTGGGAGCTTTTTTGATAAATCCATTTTCTAAGAGATTTATTCCATCCAACCCATATTCTTTTTTACTATTCTATTAGGTCCAATTTGAGAAAAGAAGACCAAAATACCATTTTCATCTACTTATGTTCCATTTAGTTCACATTATTTTCTTATATTTCAATAAGTCCTATGGGTGACATAATTACCAAAATACCCTTAATGTGAATGTTCACACCGTCAACGTAAATGTTCATATCGTCAATGTGTAGGGGCCCGGCCCATGTCGATCCTCGTGGGTGCCCGGAAAAATTCGAGTCAGGCCGGGCCGGCCCACAGGCCAAAAAAATAGGCCCGCTCGCCTGTTGATAATATGAATATTCACATTAACAGATTAACATTCACATTGGTAGGAGTGTAAAATTGGTCAGCGGCCTGTGGGCGGCCCGAAACCAGCCCGCCGCCGGGGCGGGCTCGGACCGGCCCGTTCACAATGTGAATATTCACATTGACATATTAACATTAACAATAACATTGACAAGAGTGTAAAATTGGCCCATGACCCGTGGGTAGCCCGAAGCCCGGGCCGGGTCGGGTGGGCCCCCGTTGACAATGTGAATATTCACATTGATATGTTAACATTCACATTGATAGGAGCGTAAAATTAGCCCGGGCCTGTGCCGGCCCGAAACCCGCCCGCGACTCGTGGACTGCCCTGGGCGGCCCGGCCCGACCCGTTGATAATGTGAATATTCACATTGACATGTTAACATTCACATTGATAAGAGTATAAAATTAGCCCGCGCCCCATGGCTGCTCGAAACTAGTCCACGGCTCGTGGACGGCCCGGGGAGGGCCCGGCCCGGCCTGTTGACAATGTGATATTCACATTGACATGTTAACATTCACATTGATAAGAGTGTAAAATTGACTCGCGTCCCATGGGCGGCATGAAGCCATGGGCGGCGCGGGGCGAGCCCGGTCCGGCCCGTTGACAATGTGAATATTCACATTGACATATTAACATTCACATTGATAGGAGTGTAAAATTGGCTCGTGGCCCGTGGGCGGCCCAAAACCGGCCCGCTCCCAGGGCGGGCCCGGCCCGGCTCTTGACAATGTGAATATTCACATTGCATATTAACACATTTGATAAGAGTGTAAAATTGGCCCGTGACCTGTGAGCAGCCCGAAGCCCGGCCCCGGGCCGGGCAGGGCCAGCCTGTGACAACGTTAATATTCACATTGACATATTAGCATTCACATTGATAAAGAGTGTAACATTAGCCCGTGCCCCGTGGTTGCCCAAAATACGCCCACGGCCCGTGGGCGGCCCGAGGCGGGCCCGGCCCGGCCTGTTGACAATTGGAATATTCACATTGACATGTTAACATTCACATTGATAAGAGTATAAAATTGACTCGCGTTCTACGGGCGCCCTGAAGCCCGTGGGCGGCCCGAGTTTGGGTCCGGCCTACCCGGGCCACGGGCAAGTTTGGGCAGCGGACAAATTTTACACCTCCTATCAATGTTAATGTTAAATGTCAATGTGAATATTCACATTGTCACGGGTCGGGCCAAGCCCGCCTCGGGCCGCGATCAGGCTTCGAGCCGCCCACGGGCTACGGGCCAATTTTACACCCTATCAATGTGAATGTAACATGTCAATGTGAATATTCACATTGCCAATGAGCCGGGCCCGCCCCGGCCTGAGGTCAGGCTTCGGGCTGCACACGGGTCACGGGCCAATTGTACACACTTATCAATGTGAATGTTAACATGTCAATGTGAATATTCACATTGTCAACAGGCTGGCCGAGCCCGCCCCGGGCCACCCACGGGCCGTGGGCGGGTTTCGGGCAGCCACGGGGTGCAGGCTAATTACACCCTATCAATGTGAATGTTAACATGTCAATGTGAATATTCACATTGTTAACGGGCCGGACTAGGCCTGCGCTCGGGCCGCCCATGGGCCTCCGGCGAGTTTCGCGCCGCCACGGGATGCGGGCCAATTTTATACTCCTATTAATGTGAATGTTAACATGTCAATGTGAATATTCACATTGTCAACGGGCCGGACCGGGCCCACCCCGGGCTGCCCATGGACCGCGGGCGGGTTTCGCGCCGCCACGGGATGGGGGCCAATTTTACACTCCTATTAATGTGAATGTTAACATGTCAATGTGAATATTCACATTGTCAACGGGTCGGACCGGGCCCGCCCCGGGCCGCCCATGGGATGCGGGCGGGTTTCGCGCCACCACGGGACGGGGGCCAATTTTACACTCCTATTAATGTGAATGTTAACATGTCAATGTGAATATTCACATTGTCAATGGGACTGCTGTCCAGTTTTATACTTTTATCAATGTGAATGTTCACATTTTGTCAACAGGCAGAGCCGGGCCCGCCCACAGCCCGTGGGCGGGTTTCGGGCAGCCATGAGGTGCGGGCTAATTTTGCACTTCTATCAATGTGAATGTTAACATGTCAATGTGAATATTCACATTGTCAACGGGCCAGCCGGGCCCGCCTCGGGCCGCAGGCGGGCTTTTGGCCGCGCATGGGCCGCGACCCAATTTTATACTCTTATCAATGTGAATGTTAACATGTCAATGTGAATATTCACATTGTCAATGGGCCGGACCGGGCCCGCCCCGGGCTGCCCATGGACCGCGGGCGAGTTTCGCGCCGTCACGGGACGGGGGCAATTTTACACTCCTATTAACGTGAATGTTAACATGTCAATGTAAATATTCACATTGTCAACGGGCCGGGCCGGGTCGGGCCCGCCCTGGGCTGCTGTCCAGTTTTATACTCTTATCAATGTGAATGTTAACATGTCAATGTGAATATTCACATTGTCGACGGGCCGGACCAGGACCGCCCCGGGCCAGCCATGGGTCGCGG